TGTGCTTTCCCAAACACATTTCCCACCTGGAGAACTCCTACTCACTCTCCATGAACTTGCCTGGCCAACCCAACTGTGGTACTCAACACAATAGTATAACAGTGATTTCCTTATGTGTCCCAATCTCCTGCTGGAGGTAGGGCTTCTCAATGAAGGGTAGTGGTGCCCCACTCCACACCATGACCAGAAAGCATTTGAAACAGTGTGTGTCCTGCAGGGGGGGCTTTTTCAACTGTTGCAATGACTTAGGGCCCCTGACAGGCATGCAGTGGGAACTCGCCACCCTCCTCTTTGGGAAACATTGTGGTGGACTCAGCTTCCCTGATGGTGGGTGTGGGGAGATTGCTATCCTTGCTGATTGACTCGTTCAGCCAGCATTTATTGACCACCAACTGTTTCCCAACCAAAGTTATATAAGTGGGAACAGGTCAAAAAGAAGAAACACTTGTGAGTCACATGTCTCTCATCCCTGCCAGACCATTAGCTGGGGAGAGCAAGGCCTGGGCTGTTTTGATCACTCCTGCATTTCTGGAACTCAGCACAGGCCCTGGCACATAGTAGCTGCTCACTGCACACCTACTGATTCTTGTAAAAACTCCTGTTCCCAAGTCACCTCCAATCTCATGGGAAGATACATTTGCAAACAGGATGGTGGACATATATAAATCAGGTATCAATCTGGGGACCCACCCCAGCCTCTTCATTCACGTGGTCCCACTGAAGTGACCCCCAACCCATCCCAGGAGGCCCTAAGAATCATGGTGCCTAGCTCTAGGAGGAGCCAAGGAGAGTATATTCCCAAACTCATCCTTCTGCTGGATGCTGTGTTGGCAGCCCAAGGTGAAGTCACCTGAGAAGGAAGCCACCAGAGAGTAACCCCGACATGCACCAGAGGGCATGTGCTGATGACCATCAGGTGAGGTCCAGATCCAGGTGTGCCCAAACCAATTTCACCTCTTGAGCACCTAGGCTTGTCCACCTTTACTTTCTGTTGCTTACACACAAAAGCTTCCAGAATGACTGACAGAATTATAGCACAAAGGGATCCCGACACCCAGCCCAGGGCCTGGTACACAGCAGGTGCTCCATTCATGCTCAGTGGGCTGAACACAGCCAATTCCCACCCCCAGGCTGAGGACATACCACTAAGAGCTTTGAGGAAAAGAGCCCAGGACAGAGGCACCAACACTGAGAGGCCGAGGCCTCCTCCCAGTTGGCGGCACAGAACACTGAGCTGTGCTGAGTGGACACTGCTCTCTGGCCAGAGCCAGTATACTATAGGTCCTCAGCAAACTGCAGTGGTAATGACCATCACCACCAGCACCTGTGGTACAGGGAGGCCGCTCAGGCACAGCAGTGCAGGGAGAAGGAAGGGAAACCCAAATGCCCAGAGGCCAAGGGGACTGGGTTGGGGCAACATAGAGTGGGAAGGGTGAACAGAAGCAAACGGCACACCCCAGGGCAATTACCGTCACAGCTGGTCACCACCACAGTCCCACAAGAACGTGAGCCCGAACTCCCACAGGCTCCATCTTTCATGAAAAGAATCTGTTTTCAAGGAAAATTTCTCCATTTTGAATATCATCATGCAGCCTGGGCAAAAGGTGTCCATGGGCCTGATTTGGCCACAGGCTCTTGCTGAAACTCTGGAGTAGAGAGTTCAGACCTTAGAGATGGACAGCCCTATCTCTGAAATTCTGACTCGGCCGACCATGAAGGCACGTGACTCTAGACAGGTCACTTAACCTCTCTGGACCTTTGTTTCTTCACTTGTAGTAACTGGACTTACCGCTCACAGGCTATAGCCAAGACCTCAATCAGATGAGGCCTCGAAGTCAGTCCCGTTCAGGAACATAGTTAGGAATTCAATATGTGGTGGGCTGTTACCATCTTAAGAAAAGGCAGGGAACCCCTGGGGCTGGAGAGATAGGGGTACAGTGTGATAAACCGTATCTGAATGCCCCCCTCTTTGTCATTGGTGATGGGGGAGGAGTCAGGTGTTTGGGGGTGCAGTTAGAGAACCACAGTCCTCAAGATGGTTGGGTGGCAGCTGCGGATGGGAGGAAGCCAGGTCTATGACATCACAGATCTGGGCCACCTGGGTTCAAATCCCAGCTCCACCACTTATTGGCTGCTTGCTTCGCACTCAGTGTGCCTCAGTTTCCTCCTCTGAGAGAGGGCTCATGGTCATGTCAATCCCACAGAGTTACTAGAGGATGACATGAATTAATACAGGACATATTACCCTAGAGAACAGAGACATGCCTGGCACACTGGAAGCACACAAGTGCGGGCTGCTCTTGCTATTATTATCATTGTCATCGTTGTTGTTGATGCCAAGGGAGAGGACCCTGTGAGGTGGGCCTCCATAGAAACTCCCCGTGGATTCTCCAGACCTGGGCCTTTCCATTCTCCTCTGGAGAGCATGCCTCCCCTCCGGTGCCCACCTGAAGGTGATGGCATAGGAGTCGGTCCCTTCCCGCTTCCGGATCAAGAAGGCTCCGTCCCGGGGAATCCTCATCAGCATGTCCTCCGCCTCTCCACGGCTCAGCCCATCGTAGTACCACCTGCGACACAGGCCAGAGAAAGCAGCCAGATGAAAGACCACCGGGCCATTGGTGGGCCACCCACAGAGGACAGAATAATGGACCCCGGTGACACCTGGAATCTGGCCCTGGAAACAGCTGTGGAAATCACACAATGGGCTCCCTCGCTCAAAACCACCCCGGAAAATGGCAATTAAAAGAACACCGGGAGACCGAGCGGGAGTCCAAGAGAATAAACTGACTTATCTTTACCCATAGATCCAGCCCAAGCCTGAAGGGCCAGCCTCAAAGAGTGACACAGCTGTGGCCTCTTGTCTCAGAAAATCTAAGGCAGCAAGCATGGTGACAGGGTTTTGGGGGTTTTGTTTGTTTTTTAGTTAATTCTTAAGATGCGAAGTAGCAAGTTTTAAAGGGCAATTCATATGAAAATAGGCATACACACACACATACACACACACACACACATACACAGAAGTTGCCAAAAACTGTATACACATTTTAAGAAAAGAAACAACTATTAAAATTGTAATATTCAATATATACCAATAACAAAAGATAATAAGTCATGTTTGACTTCTACAATTTCAAGGTGCTTAAAGTGGTTACCATCAGCATCCAGACACTTCTGATTATGGTGAACTAAAAGTAATACATAGATAACATCACTTAATATATGTGTACATCTTTTTGGCACCCAGTATATATATAAAATTGCTGCAATTGCAATGACTTCCTTAAATGTGAATTTTGGCAGGTTTCTACTTTTAAAAAAAATTTTTTTTTTTTTGCTTGTTTTCTCTACTTCCAGAATTTCTTGACCCTTTGTAAGGCATAATTTGATATTCACTTCCCTGGATAAAGAAATGAAAGAGAAACCTTTACAACCAGTGTTTCCTTGTTCAATTTCAGAACACACAGGAAGGAGCTTTGAGAAGCAGAAGGGTATCCCTGGACTAGAATGAACATATGAAAATCAAAGCCCAAGATCTCAGGACTAGGAAGATGAATGGGGGGTGGGGTGTGGGGAGAGGATACAGGGCAAAGGCGACAGGTAGCAGGAATCTGGAAACTGCCACCCTCAGCAATTTTGAGACCCTGGGGGACCAGGATAAGGGGACTCCCAGGGGTCAGGGCCCTGCAGAGCCATCAGGCTGGCTTCTCTGCCTGGTGAAGCTAATCCGATGGCGGTGGACGTACGGATTCGACTCGTGAGGGTTGGGGTTGGGCACAGGGTCCGTGAGCCGCAGCTCGAACTCAGCGCAGCGAAGGTGTGTCTCGCGGTAGTGCTGGATGAGGGCATAGATGCTATTGAACATGAGGTTGTCAGTCAGGTAGTACTTCAGAGTCCCGCCCTCCATGGTAGAGCGGATCCGGCAGTGCTGGACGCGGCCCGACCGCCTGCAGGGAGAGAGACACCGTCAGTGTCCACCCATGGCTGGGAGAGAACACAGGCGGGGCCAGTGACGCCCAGGGCCCCCGAAGGCTGGACACCACGTGTGGCCACACGGCCTTCCCTTGGCTCCTAGAACAGACCCAGGACTTCAACACAGGCTGGCCCATCAGCCTGGACTCCAGAACATTCTACCTACTTCTTCCACCTACTACCCCCTTTTGTCTATGCAACGACTTCTCTGAAGCCTGGGATGTCTAGGTCCAAAACCCAACTCTACCACGTATGAGCCAAGTGGTCTTGAGCAAGTAACCGGTCCTATCTAAGCCTCGTATGATTGGCCTGGTGGTGAAAAAGAGTGACAATAATGTCCAGCTCATAGAGGTATCCTAAAGGATAAATGAGATCACACACAAAATATGTCTTGAACGCTGCCTGGCCTGCGGGAAGCATCACATAGGTGTCAGCTGTCACTATTCTTTGTGTGTTATTGGTGTCACATAGGTGTCTGCTGTCACTATTCTCTGTGTGTAATTGTTAGCCCTCCAGTGACATCTTCTTTCAGGATGTTTTCCCTGACCATGCTCCATGATGGTGTACTAGACCCTTCTCTCATCGTCTTTAATTAATCTCTCACATACATTAGACTCCTCCATTACAGACTTTCATCATAGCTAGCCTTGTTTTCACCGTACCCATCACAACCATAATTACATGTCATCTGTACAACTATTTTTACATTGCCTATCACCTCAAAAGACTCTAGAATCCAGGAGGATAGAGACCTTGCCTGTTCACTGTGAAATTACTATGGCTAGTATAGACCAAGCACTCAGTAAATATCTCAAAGCACGGAGGCACGAATGAATGAGTGAATGAATGAATGAGCACGCTCACCAAGCTTATGTCAGTTTCATAAGGCCACCCTTAGAATCCCCCTTTCACAGAGGAGGAGACAGGGATTCTGGGAGGTTGTCTGAGCTGTCCAGGGCCACACTGCCCACTCCAGAGCCAGGATTAGAGGGAGGCAAATGAGGCTGTGTTGTCTAAGCGCAGGGTCAGATCTTGGTTTTGTTTAAAATGTTGATATTTTGTTCATAACAGATTTTTTGGCATTACTTTTTATTTTCTTTAAATAATGCATTGAAATGTCATTATTCTGATTATGGAGGTGTTTGGTACCTCTTAAATTCTGAATCAGGCAAGTGTCTCAGTCACCTCACCTAGTCCTGGCCCAGCAGAGCTTGACAATGGAAGCAATGGATTTGGGTTTCAGCGTGCCCAATTCTGGCCTGAGCTCAAACCACTCGCCACACTGCCATCCAGCCAGCTTTGAGGGGAAAGCAGGCATACCCTGGGCAGGGGGACATTACCAGAAGGACAGGGTGTAGTCGTTGGGGTAGGTCTCACTCTCCCGCACCAAGAAAGTGCCGTCCTTGCCTCCAGTCTCCATGCAGTATTCCTGTAGCAACTTCTCAGCACTCGTCCTCTTCTCAACCTTTTTGTGGAACCATTTCTCCCCAAAATGCAGCTCTGTGGGGGGTATATCCTGGAACACAAAGAAAGGAAAGGCTTCTGAAAGCCTTGGACTAGACCCTGGCATCACTAGATAAGTCCCTCTGCTCGCCCTGACTCAAGGGACTGAATAGCACAGACAGGCTGTCCTTACCCCGAGAGGTCTGGGAGGATAGCACCTACAGCCTTCCCTCACCTGCCTCTTCCTCCTGACAGTCCCCATTTGTGGTGGCCTCCTGGCATCCTGAGACGAAGGTGTGGGGCTCCCAGCAGGACCCTCCATTCTGTTCTACAGGAAGTCTGGGAGCCATGATAACCTCAGTGGTCTGCACTCAAGAAATGTCAGAAAAGATGGCCCAGCCAAGGAGGAGGGAACAGGAGAGCCTGGGATAAGACCAGAAGGCAGGGCTAGAGAGAGTGAGTGTCCAAGTCCCTGTACTCTCCACGAAGCACAGATATCGATGATAGGCCCAGCAGGCTACCTTCAGAGAGCTGGAAAGTGTCTTGAACCTCATTGGCTCAGCACCTAGGCCGGCCAGCCAATCAGAGAAGAGCTAGCCAGGCCTTGGTACCCAGGGTGGTAGCTCCTTAGCTGAGTATCCCCATGCCAGAAGACCCCAGGACAAGAGAAACCTCACAGGAAGGAGATCTCCTGGTGCCCCCAAGGACCAGCCAGCTCAGAAGGGCAAGAACAGCTGGGTAACCCCCTACCTGGGGCGGTTCCTCCTCCACCGTCTGTTCAATGTCATCACTGAAGGACAGGTTGGCATCAGCAATGGCACAGTAGTGCCGAGTCCATTTCTAGAAAGCAAAACAGGTATTAGCCTCCTGCAAAGTCTCTGCCCCATCAACTCTGAAGCTTGGGAACCCTGCCTGGCCTCACGCCAGCATCCACTGGGGGATCTGCCTTTCCCAGTTTCGAAGACATTTATGGTGATTTCATGGAATTCAAACACTTCCAAGACATTTCTTTTTATTTTTTTACTTTTTATTTTTTCAGATATAGGGTCTTGCTGTGACGCCCAGGCTGGAATACAGAGGTGTGATCATAGCTCACTACAACTTCAAATTTCTGGGTTTAAGTGATCCTCTGACCCTGGCTTCCCAAGTAGGTGGGATTACGGGTACATGGCTGATTTTCTAAGCAATTGTTTTGCAGAACCAAGGTCTCACCATGTTACCCAGACTGTTCTCAAACTCCTGGGCTCAAACAATCCTCCTGTCTCGGCCTTCTAAAGCACTGGAATTGAGCCACCACACCTGGCCAAGATATTTCTTTTTAAAAACATCAATTTGTTTTTGACTTCTTTTGAATTTCTTTTTTTTCTTTTTTCTTTTTTTTTTTTTTTTTTTGATGTTTTAAATCCATGTGTCTAAGGGTAGATATAATTTAATATTTAATTTCTACTGCACATTTATTTAATCTGAAGCCTTCTATGGATGATGGGATGTTTTTATACATTCTCTTGACGGTTGTTTCCTGTTCCATCTACTTTTCAAGACTTTCAGCACTTTTTAGCAAGTTTGTCTAGAGACCTTACCTTCAACATGTACTTGCGATTTAATTCTCTTTTTAAATATGGCTTTGTTAAGTTTATATCTAGGGTGTAAGAGCAAACACATAAAAATACACTCAAATCAATTTACATGTTAGGTTTAGGGATATGAGAAGCAGCATCAGAGCTTCAAAAACAAGACTTCTGGTGCAACAAGCCAGACTGAAGGACATGAGGGCAAGTAAATGCATTGTGACATCCCGGAAAAGGACCTGAGTGGACAAAGTGGTAACACTGAAGTAATAAGGTCTATACATTCATTATTAATATTGTGCCAATGTTAATTTCCTGATTACAATAATTATACTATGGTCGTGTAGGACGTCAATGTTTGGGGAAGCGGCATAAGAGTATATGAGAATTTTCCTTACTATTTGTGTGTGTGTATATATAAACGTATATTACATCAAATATAAAATTATTTCAAAATAATCCATGCGTGGTGGCTCACACCTGTAAGCATAGCACTTTGGGAGGATGAGGTGGGAGGACTGCTTGATACCAGGAGTATAAGACCAGCCTAGGCAACACAGTGAGACCTTGCCTCTACAAGAAATTTAAAAAAAAACAAAAAATTGGCCAGGCGTGGTGGCATGTGCCTGTAATCCCAGCTACTCGGGAGGCTGAGGTGGAAGGATCTCCTGAGATCCTGCACTGCCCTCCACTCCAGCCTGAGCAACAGAGTGAGACCCAACTCCAAAAAAAATGTTGTTTTCCAAATAAAACATTAAAAACGCAAAAGAAAAATGAGGTTTAAGTATGAAGATGAATTCGTTTGGCTTCAAATGGGAATAAGATAGGACCACTCTCAGAGCTCCATCAGCAGGGCTCTAAGACGGGCTGGGAGGTCAGTGGCCACGGGGGCGTGAGGGGACCCAGACCCACCTGGTCGAGGGGGTCCCACATGTACAGTTCGCCTTGCTGTTTGTGCTCATCCTTCTTGTCATCCACGTTGACATCCACGTCACCTCGGGGGCCCAGCTTCTTATGCTGAGGGGAGAACATACACATAGCCCGTCTCCTCAAGATTCAGGTGCGGGCCTTTGGGCCAGCAAGCATTCAGTTGCCTCTTCCCACCTCAGGGCCTTTGCACCGTCTGTTCCCTCTGCCTGGCTTCTCTCCTACCACATTCGGCTCTACTCTCAAGGTTACTGCTTTGGAGCCTTCTTTACCACTTGATCACAAAACAGCCCACGCTCCAGTCCAGTCCCTGCCACTCTCTGACTTCAGGACTGCTTGATTTGTCTTACATTTTCTAAAAGTCTATTTGTTTGTCTTCTCTGCTGGAAATGTAAGCCCCCCGAGGGCAGGGATTTTGTTTTGTTCCCTGTTGAGTCCCCATGCTGAAAGAGCAGTTAGTACCTAGTAAGTACTCAATAAGTATTCAGTGAATAAAAGATACCCTTTCACCCAGCATTTTCTAGCAAACAGAGCTGGGGCAAGCTCCACAGCCAGCCCAGTGGTAACAGGCTGGGCAGAGTGGCAGAAGGTACACTGGGAATTCGAATAAGACGACCTGGGTGCAGACAGCACTGCGGCTGTTTTATTATTAGCTGTGTGACCCTGGGAGGGTGGCTGCACTTCTCTGGGTCTCACACTTCTCTAAGAATGACAACAAAGGCATACACCCGGACAAGTACTGGCCTCCCTCTTAGGCAAGCATTAGCAAGTGGAGGGTTGCTGTGACCTGATGAGGAGTTTAAGACTGGGAATCAGACCTAGATTTGAATTCAGGGCCTGTCACCCTACTAGCTGTGTGACCTTAGCTGAGCGACCACCGGAATCTCAGGAACCTCTGTAGTAAAATGGGGATGTGACAGAACTAACAGAGGGACCTCAGCGGAGCCACTTCTCCTCTCAACGTCACCAGCCACATCTGCAAAATGGGCTGGAAACTGGGATGATCCATCTTGCAGGGTCACAACAAGACAAAGAAAATATCTACGACCATGCCTCGCTCCCTGCATGACACACAAGGATCACGTGACGGATGCTCCTTCCACCCCTTTCCTGAAATAGGAAGGAGTGAGCCACGGCATCTCATGGGTGGGGTAGTGGGTGCCCTACAAGGGGCCCTCAGAACTCCTCGTCCTAGAAGAGGAGCTGAAAAACCCCTGGGAACAAGCCTGCAGAGGGCTGTCCTCACTGAAACAAGAATGCTGTCAATGAGCTGGGGACAGTCTTAAGGGTAAGGGCAGCCGGTCTGTCCTGAAGACCCACACACCAGGCTCCAGAAAAGTCACACACCTCCGCAGCCAAGCTCCCTGCACCCCAGGTCCTGCCTTCATCGTGCTGGAATCTTCCCTTGGCGTCTCAGAAACAATTGCCTCAGCAGTTGAGGGGTCTTAGTCAAACACTCCCAGTGTGCTGACACTCTTATCTGTGGGGGCACCACCATCTCTCTGGCTGGGCTTGGCCAAAGTTCCTCACGCTGTTTGGTGTTTCTCTGTTGACAAGTCTCTCTCCCGTCCCCCAGCCCATGACCTCTTGGAACATAAGGACTGTGTCCAATGCATCTTGGTGGCCCAATGACAATTTAAGGAACACGCATGTGCTGATACCACCACACCCTTGTGTCTGCTGCTCCCCCAATGTGGAAGGGCAGCCCCTTTCTCTGCATATTGCTATGGTCTGAATGTTTGTACTACTCTCGCCTCCCACCCCCAGTTATTTGTTGAAACCTAATGCCCAGTATGAAGACATTAAGAGGTAGGACCTGGCTGGGCATGGTGGCTCAAGTCTGTAATCCCAGCACTTTGGGAGGTCAAGGTGAGGGGATTGCCTGAGGCCACGGGTTCGAGAAAAGTCTGGGCAACTTGGCAAGATCTCATCTCTACAATAAATCAAAAAATTAGCCGGGCATGGTAGCGTGCACCTGTGGTTAAAACAACTTGGAAGACTGGGGCAGAACGATCGCTGGAGCCCAGCAAGTTGACACTGGGGTCGCTGTGAGCGTGCCACTGCACTCCAGCTGGACAACGGAGTGAGACTCCAAGTCAAAAAAAAAAAAGAGGTAGGACCTTTGGGAGGTGATCAGGTCATGAGGGTGAAGGCCTCATGAATGGGATTAGTGTCCTTATCAAAGCATCCCCAGAGAGCTGTCTCATCCCTTCCACCATGTGATGACACAGCTAGAATTTGGCAATCTACAATCCAAAAGAGGCTCTCCTAGGGCATCCGGATCTAGAATTTCCAGCATGCAGATCTGTGGGAAATTAATCTCTGTTGTTAATAAGCCATGCAGCTTATGGTATTTTGTTATAGCAGCCAGAATGGATGGAGACACCAAGGAAACACCTGTTCATCCTTCCCTGAGAGTTTGCTGATGTCAGCAAAATCTGCCCTCACTCCTTCCATGAATGGCTGCCCAGCTAGAGACCTCAGATCCCCTCTGCCTTGCAGATCACGTGACTAAGTTCTCACACACAGAACAAGAGAGGAAGGGACACATACAGCTGACATTCACCTGCCTACCAGAAATCATCCACCTGGGACACTCTCACATTTCCCTTCTACTGAGTTGGAACTCAGACATGCCTGAGACCCAGCCTCTTCACACGAACAACAACATGGCCCAAGAGCAGACAGTCTTCACCATTTTTGTGCCATGTACCCCTTCAAAATCTGGGGAAGACCACAGAGCCTTCTCTCAGGATATTAAGAATGCATACGGTTACAAGGGAAACCAATTATATTGAAATACATTTATTAAGATATTAAATAAAAAATATTTGCAATATACTAATAGACATGCTTTTTTATTAACATCTTAAATAAGATCTAGAGGCAGATCTAATAACCTCCATAATTTCAAAGCAGTGACGAGTACAACGTTATTTTGAAATATCTGCAGGAACTGTAAACGTGATATAAAAATATCCACGATTTCTGCTGGTGGCAAAGCCCCAAGTGGCTTGTTGCCAACGTTCCTAATGGAAGAAAACGTTCAGCTTTATGTACAAGTTCATAAAAATAAAGATGTGATTTTTTTCCCATTGAAGTTCACATGGCCCCCTGAATGTTAACTGTGGATACTTTGGGGGGAGTCTGTAAAACCCCAGTTGAAACTCCTGCCCTGGGAGATGGTATAGAAAGATTTAAGGACCCTGGGTCCCTGAATCACCTTATGGATCAGAGCTCAGAAATCCTAGAATATGCTCCCTCCTATGGGGAAGACATAAACTCTCCTATGCCTCAAGCCACTGCATATCTGGTCTAATAACCAATAACCGCATGTCTCCTCCTAATGACACAAATACCCAGATGTTAGACCTGGGCATCTCAGGGCAAGATATAACCACTCATCTCCCCTGCAGCACTTGGGACACCAGCCTTCACCCCATCACTGCACTCAGACCTTGCTAACACCTGACTTCCCACAACTCGACTGGAGGCTCCCGAGGGTAAAGATAGCATCTGGATCACTGGTCACCTCCAGGCCTTTGCACAGAGCTGAGTCAAAGAAGGGCATGGGGAAGGTTCACCAAAGCCAGAAGGTACCACAACGAGTTAGCACTTACATGGCTCCCACTACAGGACAAGCACAGCTCTAAGCACCTCGCACACCTTCTGTCACATCACACTCCTGGCAAGCTAACCAGGTGAGTTCCAGGATTATGTCCTAAGACATGAGGACAGAGGCTCCAAGGGGCTAAATAGCCTTGCCTGGGGTTCTGGAGTTAGTAAGGAGGGTGGGCTTGGGCTGAGTGGTGGGACCAAGAGCCAGAGCCATGGGACACAGAGCTGGTGGTGGGACCTGGAACCGGGTCACTGAGCTACACCCTCCCTACCGCCCACAGCACCGAGGTGCCTACCTTAATGACGATCTTCTCCCGCAGCTGGCTGGGTGAGGGCAACTGGTCAGCGCTGGCCTCCGTGGGCTTCGTCAACAGCAGATCACCAAACACCTCCTTGAAGGTCTTGGCCATGTGGCGCTGCTGCTCCACACTGCAGTGCTCCTCAATGGACAAGATCACTGGGAAGCTGTGGATGGCATAGAGCAGGACTTGACAGGGGAGCCAGTACCCCCTCCCCATCCCCTAGTCTATGCACAGTGGGGCCCCGGTAGCTCCACCCCAGAGGGACTGGACACTGGGTAGGTGCTGCTCAGGGCACACCCTCCTGCCCTCCCTGAAGGAGCACCCCTGGGGGTGGGGGCCCAGGAGCCCAGGGATGCAGAACAGCCCACCCACACCCCAAAGTGCAATTTCTCTTTCCAGTTGGGTGTGGTGACTCACACCCGTAATCCCAGCATTTTAGGAGCCTGAGGCAGAAGGATTGCTTCAGCCCAGGAGGTCAAGACCAGGCTGGGCAATAATAGCAAGACCTTGTCTCTAAAAAAGAAATACAAAAAATATTTAGCTGGATGTGGTTGTGTGTGCTTATAGTCCCAGCTATTCAGAGGCTAAGGTGGGAGAATCCCTTGAGCCCAGGAGTTCAAGGCTGCAGTGAGCTATGATTATGCCACTGCACTTCAGCCTGGGTGACAGAAGAAGACCCTGTCTCAAAAAAAACAATAATTATAATACATTTTAAAAGTTGGCTGGGCACGATGGCTCATGCCTATAATCCCAGCACTTTAGGAGGCCAAGGTGAGAGAATTGCTTGAGCCCAGGAGTCCAAGAACAGCCTGGGCAACATAGCAAAACAGTGTCTCTAAAAAAATATATTTTTAAAAAATTATCTAGGCATGGTGGCACGTGACTATACTCCCAGCAACTCAAGAGGCTTACGCAGAAGGATCACCTGAGCCCAGTGGGTAGAGGCTACTGTGAGCTGTGATCACTGTACTCCAACCTGGGCAACAGTGTGAGATTCTGACTCAAAAACAAACACTTTTCATTCACTCACATCTTCAAATTTACCAAAAACAACAACAAAAAAAACCATCACCAATTTTTTTCAAATTTCAAATCTACAGAAAAAGATGAAAACACCATGCAATGAGCACCCGTACATGCTTCCCTAATGCTACCAATGTGGCCTTGTTCCATTTTCTATATATACAAAGTATATGGGTTTTACCTACTCATGTTGTATTTATACACATTTATATGTAATTATCCATGTATGTGTGCATACATGTATCTCTTATTTGCATGTGTGGATGCATATTCATGTGCAGTGTATGTGTTTATATATCATGTCTGTGCACATGTATCTACAGTCAATTCTCATTATCTGTGAGGTCACCATCCACAAAGTCACCACCAACACTGACCAGCAAATGCCTAAGCCATGGCTCCTAAGGGGAAATGCAGGGCTGGGGTCCTTTGAGCCTCTGGTTTCAACATTTTCATCAACCAATGAACACATGACCTTGTTTCATGTATGTTTCTATGGAAAGCCACCTCATTACATATATATCATTGAGAAGTGTTGAGCTCATGGCCAGGCAGCCCTGTGATGCGTGCCTGAACGCAGTGCAACTGCCACAGGTATTTCTGCACAGGGTACATCTCAGGCTCCTTTGCTCAGGGACACTAGCCAGCCCTTCAGCACTGTGCTGAAGGCCATTTTAAATAGCAAAATCACCAAGAAGAAGCTCAAAAATAGAAGGAGCATGGCACTCAATTGGTCGCAAAAGGACACTTGCTGAAAGCTAAAACAAGGACGTCCCTCTGTTTGACCTCAGCTGGGCACGTGCATGTCAGGTGACTCCAATTTTCCACCACTCTACACATGTCTGCAAGTGACCTCCAAAGTGCTCTGGGATTTGATTCAGTGGTTATAAATAAAAGTGAGTAGGCGAATTCACAATTATAGAAACCACCCACAAGGATCGACTGCATAATGACACATCATTTGAACACCTGTGTGTACATTTCCATATCATTTGTACCTGTGTATACACATATATTTATATATCATTTGTGCACGTGTTTATGTTTTCTCCCAAACCATTTGAAATGAGGTGCGGATACCCTCTATGCTGTCTCCTAACAACAGGTACATTATTGAATGTGACCACACCACCACCATTATTGTACCTCAGAAAATTATCATTAATTACGTCTCATCAAATATATAGTCCATACCAAAATTTCCCCAATTATCAAAGAAAGGTAGGGTATCACTGTTTTTTTCTCCATCTAGAATCCATTTGAGGCTTGTGTGTTGTATTTATTTTGAAGCAAAATCATTCTAAAGGCAGTATGCCCCTACCATAAACAAGAAATCACAACACTTGGTAGAAATGAAGATAGGTGAGAAAATAAACATATGATGTTTAATAAATTATTAGCCATGAGATGTTGTGATACAGTGGCTCATGCCTATAATCCCAGCACTTTGGGAGGCCAAGGCAGGAGGATTGCTTGAGTCCAGGAGTTTGAGACTAGCCTGGGCAACATAGTGAGACCTCGTCTCTATAAAAAAATGTTTTTAAAAAATTAGCCAGGTGTGGTGGCACATGCCTGTATTTCCAGCTACTTAGGCGGCAGAGGGGGGAGAATTGCTTGAGTCCAGGAGGTCAGGGCTGCAATGAGACATGATTGTGTGACCGAGTGAGACCCCCAACTCAAAAATAATAACATATTAAACACATTTCACCTCAAGTCAGTCACTGCCTCACCACTCCTGGAAAGCCTGGACCTAAGCAAGTCCCCCATCCTGGTCTATACACCCTTAATCGAACCCAACAGCTAAAAAACTTACAGAGCAAAGGGTACCCACTAAGTGTGGTGCCAAAACTGGCAGGCACACCTGAACCCAGCAGATGCCCCTAACAGTCCTTTATTGAAATTCCTCTTAATACAAATACTTATGCATTTGGCTGCAAAAACATTAATGTAGAATAACCAAGTTCCAGCCCTATGGGTGTTAGGTGATTCCAGACCTATTTTAACCAGAATAAAACACCTCAAGCTATGAGTAAGGCTGTGTTCCACTAATGAGTATTAACTCAACAATCACAGTTTATTTCGTGGAAATAAACTCAACTCTCAAAAGTCTCCATGAACACGGTTCCTCCAGTACTTCCCCATCTGGTGAGAGTCAGCACTAAGAAGGGTAGAGGCTGGATGGGGGAGATACTGCTACAGAGATTTACTTAAAGGCTTCCTGCTAAGAGGGAAAAGAGAGTCACCACAATGTTGCCTCAGGGTAACACCTCCACCCAGCTCGAGGGACATCTACAGTAAGTGCAACAACACAACCCATCATGCCAGGCATGGTGGCTCAGGCCTGTAATCCCAGCACTTTAGGAAGCCAAGGAGAGAGGATTGCTTGAGCCCAGGAGTTCGAGACCAGCCTAGGAAACACAATAAGACCTTATCTCTATTTTTAAAAAATGTTTAAAAAGTTAATCGGGCATGGTAGCGTTGTCCCAGCTACTCAGAAGGCTGAGGCAGAAGGATTGCCTGAGCCCAGGAGGTTGAAGCTGTGGTGAGCTGTGATCAAGCACTCTAGTCTGGGAAATTCCGACTCAAAAAAATAAATGGTAAGTGCCTTGCCCAAGCTGATACTTCACAGAGCTGGATTCAAACTCAGAGAGAGGGATTCTGGAAGCCATAAGTGCTGCTCCACACCAAAAGTGATTTAAAAAAAAAAAAAAGACCACTATCGTTCCATGGAGGCCACAGAAGACCTCTTCCCAGCTCTGGGAAATTATAAGGAGTCTAGACCAGGAGTCAGTAAACTGTGGTCTGTATACTGAATCCAGCCTTCCATCTATTTTTGTAACTCAGGTTTTCCAGAAATACAGCCATGCCCATTGGTTTATGTCATATCCATGGCTGCTTTTACACTATGGCAACAGGGTTGAAGAGTCAAACGGAGACCAGGGTACACAAAGCCTAAAATATTTCTACCTAGCATTTTACAGGAAAATTTTGTTGACCCCTGGCCTAGACTGAGATCTGCTGGTGGGCTAGAAAAGGATTAGACCTGAGGTCAGAAGTTCTAGAAACCCACCAAAATGTTATCAGTTACTCAACCTCTCAGTGCCTCCGTTTACACATCTGTTAAGTAGGGACAACCAAACCTACTTAGTGGCAAAGAACCAGGAGGATCAGCAGACATTCTGGAATAGCTAAATGCAGAGGGGACCCCACCAAAAAAAAGAATCAGGAGGGTCACGTGTACAGACAGCCTGGAACAGAGACTGGTCCCACGAGGTACTCAAGGAATGGGAACACACCCCACCACCATCGGATGCTTTGAATACCACCTTAGAAACAGGCCTGGGAGGGCTGGATGGGGATTGGGCAGAAAAGAGGGAATTAGACCAGGGGAATCTTGATTGTCTTTCTCTCTTGACAGGTTCTAAAGCTGAGGCCAGGCTGAGGAGGAGGAGGAGGCAGTGGCAGTAGGCACTGAGCCACCACAGGGTGGTCCTAGCCAGAGCCTCCTTCAGGCTCCAGAGCCAGGCAGACACTTGCACACTTGACCTGCAGGGGACGCCAGAACCCAGCTGAGGATGAGGTGGCAGTGACTCTGGCCAAGATGGAGCCCAGGTCCCCACGTTTGGGGTGAGGCTGCCCGCATGTGTGCTGTTCCTGTGTCTGTCTCTGTCTGTTCATCTGCACATCCAACCCCAGCTGCCTTCCCCTGAGAGGCAAACCACCTGGAAATGAGTCGACTGACTGACCTTGAGGCAACAAAGGCGTGGTCTTTGATGGCCTGCACCACGTCATCAAACTTGATCTTGGTGGTCCGCGTCCAGCCGTGGTAGATGATGGGCTTCCCATCAGGTCCATCCCAACAATCCACTAAGGAAAGAAACCCAGCGAAGTCAGCCCCCAGCCACCACAGTAGGTCAGCTATTAGACAGAGAGGCCCAGACCTCATAGTTACACTCAGGGCCACCAGCATGAGGACATGGGTTTGCCTCAATATATGTGGGTACCTATGCACTTACACGATATCACACATTTATCCAGGAGAAGCTAGTCTCAATGCTTCTTTTTAAAGAGGGCGTCTACAATGTGCCTTATTTTCTGACTTTGGTTGTCTAATCTTGACTTGCCTTTTATGCCAGAGGAAATAACACAGGGCAATGAGAAACGTGTAGAGAAGGTGACCGTCCCCCATTTTCTCAACCCTCCGAGGGCACAGGAGCTGACAGTCTCAAGCTTTCCTTATTCACATTCACGTTTTCTTGAGGGAGTAGAAAAAGCACAAACCAGGAACAAGTCTGCAGAGGAATCGCTACTAAACTCTGAGCCCAGGAAGCCGGGGCTGTGACGAGCTGAGATCATGCCAATGCATTGCAGCCTGGGAGACAGAGTGAGACTCCAACTCAAAAAAAAAAAAAAAAAAGTGTTGTATGTGTCAAGATAGCAAGGAGAGAGGATTTTTATATTTCCCACCACAAAGAATGAGAAACGTTTATGGTGATGGGCTTGCTAATGGCCCTGATTTTGTCAACGAATAATGTAAACATATACCAAAAATGCCACACTCTACTCCATCAAAAGGAATGATTATTATGTGTCCGTTATACATTTTTAAAGCTTAAAAGAAAGCACGGAGCAACCATGTGGCTAGCTTCAGCTCGCCGCAAGGGCGGGTGATCTCTTCCAGGAGGAAGCGACTCACATTCAATGCAGCGACAGCCCATGCGCAGACAGCGGATGTACGCCTCCGTGGACGACTCGCTCCGCAGCTGGTCACCTGTGAGGTATCTGAAGGAGAGAAGGAAGGGGGGGCCACATGGGGTGGTAGCTACGGGGTGGGTGCGTACCTCGAGGCATCCTGGGGGAACGTCTCAGTCCAAGCTCCAAAGTTCTAGGCTCTTCCATCTAGAAAGATCCCAAAACTAAGACCTGGTGCAGACTGACACAATTGCGGGGCCACGCTGGGCATGAGACTCGAGCTCTAGTCACTATCACAGGACGTGAATGGTAACCACCTTGACAATCCAAGCATGGGGTGGAGACAGCTGTCCTTTCAAGGAGAGCTTGGTCAAGGGGTGTCAGGAGTGGGAGAAAGGCAACGGTCCCATGGCCACCCTCGAGGCCCTCCATCCAAACAGAGACGGTTCCTCCTTTTTATATCAGGGCTCAAGGCCAGACACAGAATGGGTGTTCAACCACTACAATGCTATGAACCACATCCACCCATTTTTTAAGAGTTTGCGTTCCTTAACTCTTCTAGGTTTGGTAGAATTCACCAGCCTAAGACACAAACTCTTAAAACAATAGGCATGGTGAGAAAGAGAGAATCGTGATGCCAACTTGCCCCTGAAAGGGACTTTACCTTCCCAATGCCTGCAGGATGACACCCTCAAGGGCCTTTTCAAAGACCTCCCCCCACCTGGAATGACACTTGGGAAAATCCCAGCCTATAGCCCTGGGCACCTGGGCACCTGTGATCCAAGGACTCCATCCCCTCACCCTTTAAGGCAGACTCAACATTGGAACTGCAGTGCTACATCCTTTTCTCTCCTCTGATCTATCAGGGTAATATCCAAAGAGGTTCATGTGAGCATGTCACTCTTTGGTTGAAAGCTGTCAGGCTCTCCCCACCGTGACGTGTAATGTTCCAGCAGACCCTGCCAGCCTCCCCTCCTGACACAACTCTCCTAGATTCTGCTCCCCAATCTTAACAGACTCCTCTCAGTTGCTTCTGCCCCAGGGCCTTTGCACATGTCATTTTTCTGGATAACTTCTTGCCTTACCACCTGTTCTCTCATTACCAACGCCTATTCATGGTTAACATCCAATGGAGAACTTTCCCCTCCAAGCACATGAGGACGGGGCTGCTCTCCCCTGTTCCCTGCTATGTCCCCAGCTCCCAGCAGGCACAGGGTATACACTCCCTAAGTACCAGCTCAGTGACTCATTCCATTGCTTTGCTGTGGCCACTGTGAGATGCCCAAATCGTGAAAAACGAGGTTTGCTGACTAGTACAGAAAGAAAGATTATTGCTGCCATGCCAACCAGGGAAGGGAGGTGCGCTCCCCCACCCTTTCTGGAAGCTTCTGTATACTCTAGTGGGAGGAATGCAGTGCAGCACCCTCTACCCACTTCTCATTTGCCTCGCCAGAGCAGTGCCCCAGGCACCCGTCTCATCGCCCTCTGTCCCACCAGACCCATCACGGGCTCTTGTGAGACTCACGTGTTATGGGAGGAAGAGATCCAGTAATGAGAAAGGGGGTTGTTCATGGCCTGCATGTCCACCACGTCATACTTCTCATCCCAGATGCTGTTTTCTCGGGAAAACAGGTACGTGAGGAACTGAAAGAGGCCAACATGAAGACCGAATCATCTCGCTGCCGGGAGGGACAGGGTCTGGTTGTTTCTAGTCTGTGCCCACATGGGGAGAGGGTGGCTCACACACAAGGAAGCAACAGATGGTCCCCAGACCTCAGTTACCCACGTTTTCGCTACAGAAGGTTCCAATGGCAGCAGGCTGCACCGACACATTTGTTTCGTGGACCTAGATGATATTTTCCTTTTTCATGTTTATCCTAAAATATTTGCTGCTACAAGAGCTTATGCTTTCCCTATAGAATTTTTAAGGCATAATAGTAGCATGATCACTTGTGAATCCACAACCATATTGGAGAAACAGAATGTTATCAATATCAGGATGTCGAAACGGCAGGAAGTTTCAAATCCCAACTCCTAATCCTTTAAAAAATAATAATGACACAGGACACAGCGGCTCACACCTGTAATCCCAGCACCGTAGGAGGCAGAGGTGAGAGAACTGCCTGAGTCCAGGGGTTTGAGACCAGCCTGGGCAACTTGACAAGATCTCGTCTCTACAATAAATCAAAAAATTAGCTGGGCATGGTGGCATAAGCCTGTAATCCCAGCACTTTGGGAGGCAGGAGCAACAGGATTGCCTGAGACCAAGGGTTCAAGACCAGCCTGGGCAACTTGGCAAGACCTCGTCTCTACAATAAATTAAAAAATTAGCCAGGTGTGGTGGTGCGTGCCGGTGGTTCCAGCAACTTGGAAGGCTGAAGCAGAAGGATCGCCTGAGCCCAGGAGGTCAAGGCTGCGGTGGCCATGAGCGTGCCATTGCACTCTAGCCTAGGTGACAGAATAAGACTCCAACTCAAATAATAATAATAATTAGAGATCTGAGTGACCTGACGCCACATTTGCTGCCTGGATACAATCTTCTAGGGGGCAGGTGCTCCCCAGGTGCCTTCCCATTCCACCTCCCCTCCTGCCCTATGCAAAGTCAAATGGAAACCACTTGTGCCTGCAAGTACATAAAAATCTTTGAACTTTGTTTCCATTCCTAGAATGATTTGGCTCTCCTTGGTGGCAGGTGCCCTCTAGTGGCAAAATCAGTTAATCTAGTCAGGCAGCTTGCTCAATAGAAAGGAATGGGAAAAAGGAAAAGTCCAAAACAATCTGGAACCTGGTGGGGGGGGGAGGAATAATCACTCCCCACTAACATGGTCAGCAGGGGGCGGGGGGAGAAGAGGGGGAATCTGACAGCAAAGCCCTCTCAGGGAAGAGAAACAGAAAATAAGCCTCAGAAGGCACAGGCGTGAAACAAAAAGTCAAAAGTTGTAGACTGCAGTGAGCTGTGATCACACCGCTGCCCTCCAGCCTGGGAGTCAGAGCGAGACCCTGTAGACAATAAAAACAAGATCAGCCACAATGGCTCACACCTGTAGTCCCAACACTTTGGGAGGCCAAGGTAGGAGGATCGAGAGCCAGGAGTTCGAAACCAGCCTGGGTAACATAGCGAGACTTCATCTCTACAAGAAATTTAAAAATTAGCCGTGTGTAGTGGTGCAGGTCTCTGGTCTCAGCTACTTGGGAGGCTGAGGCAGAAGGACCACCTGAAACCAGTGATTGTGCCACTGAACTCCAGCCTGGGTGACAGAGTGAAATCTTGGCTAAAAAAAAAAAAATTAACGAAATGTGAAAAAGTCATGCCGATGTGACAACGAGTCCAGTTCGCTCACCTCATCCACAAACAAGAAAGGTTCAGCGGTTTCCCGCATCGTGTCGTCAATGAACTTCGTCATCCGCTCACGGACTTTGTTCAGATCCTGCGCCCAGAGCTCCTGGAAATGACAGAGAACGAGAAATCACCAAAAAGAGAACTGACACGAGTCTTCATCTCTCGAGGTCCATCCAGCTGCAATCGAAGGCTGAAACACGTCAGCCAGTCCTGAGTTCATCTGCAATCAAGCGCTATGCATCCAGACCCCATGGTGCGCAGACCCCTCTGCTGGGGGTCAGCCAATGTTTTCCACAAAGGAGCAGGGAGTAGGCATATCAGGCTTTTGCAAGCCATATGGTGCCTGCCGCAACCACTCAACTCTGCTGCTACAGTGCAAAAGCCGCCGAGATAACACGTGGGCAAACGGGCATGGTTGTGAGCCAGCAAAATTGTGTTTGCAAAAACAAGCTGCGGCCCATAGGCCATCACTTGCCAAATCTCATCTCTTGTGACTTCTCTGCGTTTGTTATATGAAGGAGCCAGGGAACACGATGGTTATGTTAGCCTGCCGAGGGCGACTCATCAGGTTTGGCCTCTTGTTTCGCCTGAGTGACCCGGTGCAAGTTACATACCCTCTCTGTGCCATCCACGAGATGGAAATAATAGTATCTACAGCACGGTATCTGCAAGGAACGGTATGAAATAAGGTTATGTACTTAATGCAGCACCCAGTGCCCAAAAAGTGCTCAGACCAGGCAGGGCAGCTTGTGAAAATGAGCAATCCTCTTCCTATAGTCCGTACAACTCTGCAAGTCCTGTCACTGTTATTTTAGAGAGCAGGTCACAGAAACTCGGGAATATCACATAATGATCCTAAGTGCACACAGCTTATAAGTCGCAAAGTCAGGATTCCAGATAACTAAATTGACACAGGCTCTCATCACACGCTCCCTTCTCAAGAGGACAGCCAAGCAAAGCTGCTCAGACACTGACAATGTCTGGAACATACATGGCCCGTTCCAAAACAGCTTCTGAACAGCTGTAGATATTTCAAAAGCACTTTAGAAAAAGAATACATCATAATAAGGAATTTTATTGCTTTCCTCTGCATGCCCTGAAACCCCAAATATTCATAGGCAGAAGGGACGAAATAGGACACGCAGATTCAACTCCGACTAATGCTTTCTGGGTTTCAAATACTCTAAGATCTCTGCCTTTACAAATAACAAAAGCAAATGTGCTGCCTGGTGTATGTGTGTGGTTGGGTAGGAAGGGCCAGACAAGGATGTCGCCAAAAATGAAAAGCATAAGAACTGGTGCAGGTTGCAGGGGGGACCAGGTGGCCTCACGTGCACAGGGATGCAAGATGACAGTAAAACTTGCTGTGCCTCTTGTAGGTCTGGCTGGATCGGGGACACAGAATCGCCAGAAGGCCGGGAACAGTGAGTTCATGTGAATACAGAGATGTTAGAATCTTTGAACACCGTAACATGAAATCCACATTGTAGGAGACTCAATGAAAACATCTTACCTAGCCTAGGATTTCCAAAGAGACTGGAAGTTTCTACCTCCTTCCACCTAAAAAGTTTCAGCATTTATCAGAAGGCACAGGTACTTAGCTAATATTAACGGAGCTGACTGTGAAGAAAGAAATCTTTTGCCTAAGATTAAAATGCTCTTTTTTTTTTATATTTTGAGTCAGAGTCTCACTCTGATACCCAGGCTGGAGGTCTGGCACGATCATAGCTCATGACAGCCTCACCTCCTAGGCTCAGATGATTTTCATACCTCAGCCTCCCAAGTAGGTGGGACTACAGGTGCATGCCACCATGCCCAGCTAATTTTTTTTTTTGCAGAGATGACGTCTCGCTGCATTGCCCAGGCTGGTCTCAAATTCTGGGGCTCAAGCAATCCTCCCACCTCAGCATCCCTAAGTGCTGATATTATAGGCATGAGCCATGGCACCCAACCTAAAAGGCTAATATTCTAGGGGTTAAAAACAAGTGCATCTGCTTGGTGTGAGGTATTGCACTAGGCACCTACACTAATAAAAATGGCAAAGAATAATGATGAAAATAAAAGTAAATGATGGTGACAGGCAACAGTGGGCATGACTGTATGTCAGACCCCACATAACAACTCGTCTTGAACTTGGCACATCCTTAGAGGTACATTTATTCTCCTTGTTATATAAATGGGGACACGGAGGCCTCCAGTCATTAAATAACTGGATCCAATTATTAGCCTCAGACAGAACACAGACATATCTGGTTGTAGGGCCTTGTTCTTACCCCTCCCAATTCCATCACCCAACCACCCGGGGCACATTCAGCCAATCCAGTAAAGGAAATTTAGGTTAGTCCCAAGTTTTCCTTCCTATTAAAAAAGCTGCCATTACTTCCTTTAGGGTGAGTACCTAGGGAGACAAATATTTAGTTAAGGTATATAACCTATTTTTTTTTTAAGTTTTCATTTTTTTTATTTATTTATTTATTTGAGTCAGAGTCTCACTCTGTTGCCCTGGCTGGAGTGCAGTGGCATGCTCATGGCCACTGCAGACCCGATCTGCTGGGCTCAGGTGATCCTTCCACCTCAGCCTTCCAAGTGGCTGGAACTACAAGTGCCCGGCTAATTATTTTTTTGATTTATTGTAGAGATAAGGCCTCACCCAGTCGCCCAGGCTGGTCTCAAACCCATGTGCTCAGGCAATCCTCTCGCCTCGGCCTCCCAAAGTGCTGGGATTATAGGCGTGAGCCACCTCGTCTGGCATAATTTTTTAATTTTTTTGTAGAGATAGATTCTCACTATGTTGCCCAGGCTTGTCTCAAACCCATGGGCTCAGGCCATCCTCTCACCTCAGCCTCCCAAAGTGCTGGGATTACAGACGTGAGCCATGGCGCCCAGCTTATCGCATATAGCCAAAGTGCTTTCTAGAAAAGTTGTACGAATTTGCACACTAAGTGCTGCAGTGATTATTCCACATGAGTACCTGTCACCCCAAAGAAACGTCACAGACGCTCGTGGATACTTGAGTCCTAACTCCCCCTGGATGAGACAGAGAGCTCTCACACTTTTCTCCTGGTCGGTCTCACCATCTCTAAGGCAGCCCAGCCAAGGGACCACTTTAGAACAAGCCTGTGGGTCCTCCTGTAACAAAGCTAATCACCACTAGGTGGAGCTAAATCTATGCTCACAAGTCAGCCTGACAGGGGGTGAGTTTAGAATGTAAGGACACTGGTCCCTCAGAATTTAACCAACTTAACTTTAATCACTCCCTACAAAATTGGGTAATTTATGCAAAAAAAGCATGATAAAAAAGAAAAAAGTGCATGCATCTCTCTCCTCAATCTACCACCAGCACAATACTTAGCATGTTATTACACCCAATAAAATTAATTTATTGCGTCCATTTTACCCCTCTTTCTCCATCTTGGTCCAGGCTCAGCAAATAAGGCTTCTTTTGACCATGTTCATACAACCCCACACCAGGAAGGCGTGATGCCTACAACACGACTCCATGTCCCCATTCACCATGTACCAATGCACCATGGTGGCCACCCATTGCCTGGGCCCTGCGTGTGACTGGGCTCCAGCAAAATGTGCTTTCTTTATTCATTTGTTTCTCTACAATCGATGAATTCCAAACACCAGCTGGGTATTGACCAACAACAAGAAGTTACAGTTAATTGTGTAAGGTGTAATGGAAGTATGACAGCTGTCTTCTACAAAAAGAATGACTCCTTACCTGTGAGACAAAGGGAAGCATTTACAAACAAAACAATACCAAGTCTGGGGTTGAATTTAGAATTCTCCAGTAAAGAAGTAAAGAGGGGGGAGAGGGAGGGAGGCCCATGGACCTGGAGAAAGAAGCAGATGAAACAAAACCCACAAAAGTTCATCATTTTACATCTGAGTTGCTGGGTACACTTTTGTGTGTGTCTCCTGGCTAAGGTTTTTAGAGAGTAAGTGAACTTCATTTTGCTGCAAACTTGGAAGCACTCTAAAATATAAAACCTTTTTTTTTCTTCTTTTTTTTTTTGAGTTGGAGTCTCATTCTGTCGCCCAGATTGGAGTGCAGTGGCCGCTCCCAGCCACCGCAGCCTCGACCTGCTGGGCTCCGGCGATCCTTCCGCCTCAGCCTTCCGAGTAGCTGGAATTACAGGTGTGAGCCTGTAATTATGCCCGGCTGATTTTTTGATTTATTGTAGAGATGAGGTCTCGCTGCCCAGGTGGGTCTCGAACCTGCAGGCTCAGGCAATCCACTCACCTCAGCCTCCCAAAGGCGCGGGATTACAGGCTGAGCCACCGAGCCCGGCTAAAACCTATTTTTTTAATAAAAAAATTAAATAAATGAGAAAAAAGTAAAATTTCAATGATATAAATAAAACATTTAAATATATATGTGAATATGCATGCCTGTACGTACCCATCCATGCACACACACACACACACACAAAGAACAAAGATCTATGCAATCATCTCTGATCCCCACAATTCAGAGAGCTAGGAGCTTTCATCCCCCCAACTTTTTTTTGAGACAGGGTCTCATTCTGTTGCCCAGGCTGAAGTGCTCACCACAGCCTCAACTTCCTAGGTTCAAGTGATCCTTGCACCTCAGCCTCCTCAGTAGCTAGGACTACAGGTATGTGCCACCATACCTAGCTAATTTTTCATTTTTGTTTTTGTAGAGACGAGGTCCTGCTATGTTGCCCAGGCTGGTCTTGACCTCCTAGGCTCAAGCGATCCTCCTGCCACCTCCTCCCAAAGTTCTGGGATTACAGGCATGAGCCACCATACCTAACCCATCCCTATTTAAAGAAGAACTAGCCAGGCTCGATGCCTCAGCCTGTAATCGCAGCACTTTGGGAGGCCGAGGCGAGTGGATTGCCTGAGCCCACAGGTTCGAGACCAGCCTGGGCAACTTGGTAAGACCTCATCTCTACGATAAATCAAAAAATTAGCTGGGTATGGTGGCGTGCGTCTGTAGGTCCAGCCACCTGGAAGGCTGAGGTGGAAGGATCACCTGAATCCAGCAGATCGACGCTGGGGTGGCTGTGAGTGTGCCACCACACTCCAGCCTGGCCAACCAGAGTGAGACTCCCAACTCTCAAAAAAAAAGCAAGTGGGACACAGAAAGGTTAAACCACCCATCCAAGACTGAGCAGTTAGTAAGAAGGTGTTGAGCTGATCTCACCTCACACTCGGAGTCTCATCCTCAGAACCACTGGCATTTGGGCCAAATTATTTGTAGTGGGGCTGCCCTGCATTGTAGGATATTTAGCCACATCCCTGGCTTCTGCCACCAGATGCCAGGAGCATCCTCCATTGTGGCAACCAAACCTGTCTCCAGACTCTGCCCCATGTCCTCAGGGGGCATTGTCACACTGTGGAGAACCAACCCCCAACACAAAACTCTGATCAGCAGCTGGACTCGGAGCCCATGTGCAAACGCTGTCCCAGGAGGCTGCCCACATGTCATTTGCTTGAGGACAGCTGTGGTGCTTTATCCCCGGTGGAGCTGGCAGGTTCCATCAGTCTAGTCACATCCTGTCATCAGTAGAGGAAGGCTTCCCAGAAGTGAGGCCAGTGAGGGCGCCGTCCTGAGGCCCTCACCCCTCCAGCCATGCCTGGAATACTGTCATTCTTCCCCTTTCCCAATTTGTACCTTGAGCAGAGGGCCATATGAGGCTGTGCTCACCCCAGGGCTTAAGCAGCACTGGCTGCAGTGTGAAGGCACCGGGGAGACTACAACTATCCCATGAAATCGGGCTGCAGGAGAACGCAGGTGGCAGGCAGGTGAGAAGCGCCCTGCAGCTCCCACCTGCTTCCCCCACCCACAAGCTCTACTGTCTCTCACCTGCTGTTCATGTAGGAGAAATCTCTGGAAGTCATGCAGATAAACAGCAGAGGCATCTGGCCGGTCTGTGTTCCTGTCCCAGGAAAGAGAGGGTGGTTAGAGACAGACATGTCCAGTAGAAGAGTCCAGGAGCCAAGCCGGCAGCAAGACGCCTCCCAGAGCACCCACCGTGAGTCCCTCCACTGTGCCACATGCCAGGTTGGCCAAGGGGAAGACACAACGTCCCTGACCTCCAAGGATTCAGAGGGGTCCTGACACCAGAATCTTGGCGGGAGGCCCTGGAATCTGCAAGTAGCCACTCCCACAGGGGGCGGGTGCTTGAGTGCCCTGGGGGAGGAGAGGCAGCCAGGCCCTCCAGCAGTGCAGCAAGGTGAGATAGGAAGGGAGGGCACTGTGGAACAGTCCAGAGGGCCCCAAGCCCAGACCTGGAGAGCCAGAGAGGCTTCCTGGAGGAAGAAGCATCTACTCCACTTCCAGAGAAGGAGGCGAGGTCAGCAGAGGGAGGTGGAGAGAGTGCCCGACAAGGGAACCATCTAGGCAAAAGTCTAGAGGAAAAGAAAGGAGGGAGGGGAGGAAGAAGAGGAGGAAGGGAGAGAAGGAGGAAGGAGCTACAGAGGGAGGAAGAGGGGTAAGGCAGGGGACATGTGAGCTCAAATGGCCAATGCCTAGGTATGGTTGGAGGAGCCGCCCGTTTAGGTAGAGCTGGTGCTGGAGAGGGGAAAGGGACCAGGTCCAAGGGTCTCCTCGGAAGCCACAATCCAGAGTCCATGGGCTGTCCAGGGCTCTGAAGCAGGAGTAGAGGCCTCATGAAGCCCCTGACTCGGGGCTGATGGGGGAAATTAGCTGAAGCATGCACAACATCACCACGGAGTGATCAGCATGAGCAAGATTGTTGGGAAAATCTTCCACTGGACAGGAGGGCACCCTGCACTCTAGATAAAGGCAAGATGCCCACCCAGCCAGCAGGTATCCAGCCCATGGCTTCGTGGAGAGATGTTTGTAGCTACCGAAAAACCAGGACCTCACAGGCTGGCCCAAGCCACCCTGGACTCCATGGGAAGTATACTCTCAAGAACAGAGCTTCCTAGGGAAATGGGCACATTTCCCTGAGCACATGCTGGGGGGTGGGAGGGGCAGGGGTGG